AACATAAAATGCTAGACTTCCTCATATTAATCCACCATTTTGTATCAATCTTTCTTTAATGTACTTATATTTTAAGCTTATGTAATCTCTCAAGGCAAAAAAAGATAATTAAACTATACACTGAGAGGGATTATGGGAGTTTACTACTCTCCCTCCCATGGCCAAAAATATAAATTTGAGTAACATATAATTAACAATTATAAAGTAGTTAGTTCATTTTATCTCTGCAACTATATCCTTCAAGTGATTATTTCTTAGTTCTTGGGCTTGTTGATAACATTCTATATTCATCTCACTTATGAATCTCATCTCATATTTAATAGGAATAGGAAGTAGAGGCAGCAAGAAAAAATAGGGGAAAAGAGCTTTATGTCAAACACACATCCTTATTATAATGCTTATCTGTGTGCATACTGGTCAAGATATTTAAAAAAGCCCTAGCCGCTTCAACTATTAAAAGACACCTGCTGTTCAATTCTCCAAATAACAGCCTCTTCCCCAGCACCTGTTTCTAGGTCATTAGTCTCATACTTCCTAAGAGCTTAGATATGATGGTGATCCACAGTAACATCCATTGTCCCACTGACTGCAGCAGGGGTTGATATGCTTTCTTAACTGATAAAATGAATTGACATCCTCCTTGCCCATCCCCCCACCATCCATTCTTCCCTCATTTCCTCAGTAAATAGGCTTATGACATAAGTTGTAGATGACTAGCAAATAATAAGAAAATGCTGGGCTTTCCAGTAAGAAATAAAGCTCTCTATACTTTCTAGATAGGCAAGAAGTATTTTGCATACTAAATGAAAATGGAAGTGGGAAGGGATTTTTAAAAGGGAATTTCTTAATCTTGCTAATCCAAACTCTTTTAATTTTTTGCCAAAATGTCTCCTCACTTCCCATGGCAAGATTCATCAAAGCTGTTTCTAAACAGATTTTAGATGTGACAATCTATAGAAAAATTAAGCTAAAAAATAGTATTTTATCAAGCGATTGGCTTCACTTACCTTTGATGAGGTACAAGAATATTATTGATCCCTCCGAGTTTAACATTTATCTTTAGGCACAGATTTGAGAGAGTTTGAGGGGATGTTTTTATTACATTCTTGACTTGAACACACTGTGTAGCCATACCCAAAAGTGTATCTCCTACACGTTTCACTTCCGCTATGGAACAAATGCAGATACCTCTAGTTAGAAAAAAGGCTGAAATTCACTGAAAATTAAGCTACTGTATTTCTCCCCTTTAAATACATTACTGTATTACAGGGCACCAAAAATTACACCAACACTAAAACAATGCTGTTAATAATGTATACAGACAGTCCTCGGGTTACGGCGGACTCGACATACGTTGTTTTGTGGTTATGTCGCCATCTCCCATTTATTTATAAAAAAAAAAAGAAGTTCCGTCATTTCGACGTATGTACATATGTGCTTTATGTTTTTTATTATTTATTTACCACAGGTAAAGGTCAGGAATTGTTATCTTGCTTTTAAATTTTTTTTACTGTTTCACTTCATTACTGCTGTGTATGTGCTCCATGTGAGTGACGTAGGTGCTTACGTAAGTGGTTCCGACGACTTACAGCGAAAATCGCGTTCGCGTTATGTGGCGCGGAAGGAACAGATCTCCGAGATAACCTGAGGACCTACTGTATTGCTTTGAAGATCAGCTTAAGCATTTACTGATAAATTTTTTGACTGTTTTCTTCTTTGTGTACTAGTAAAAAAGTTTATTTTTATAATCCTGAAAACACTATAACCACAATAACTGATAAACCATGCAGAGAAAAATATAATACATAATCCCTTGTTAGCATTTTACTGTATTCTCTTCAGTAATTTTCTCATTTGTATGATTTAAATG